TTTATTATAGGAGGTCATATACGAAGATGGACAGTGCGGGGAAGCTGTTCATGAATGGAGTGGTGGTTAGAGAGAACATCAACATTTTCATGTTGTGAAAAGGGAAATCAGAGGTATATAAAAAGAACCTTAGAGCGGTATTAACTGTGGAGGTCATATACGAAGATGGACAGTGCGGGGAAGCTGTTCATGAATGGAGTGGTGGCTAGAGAGAACATCAACATTTTCATGTTGTGAAAAGGGAAATCAGAGGTATATAAAAAGAACCATAGAGCGGTATTAACTGTGCTTTACTCACATGGTAATGCATCTGATTTGGGTAATTAGTTTATATCTCTGAGTTATCTTATTGGGGTAAGTTGAAAAACTTAATCTGAGACATTTTATTTGAGTGATCATTTTTTTATTTATTTATGTGCTTTTTGCAGGTATGATTATTCTAGATATGGGTAGTCAATCGAGAAGGTATGCCAAAATATTAGTTTTTTTTGTTATATTAATATTTGTCTGGTTGGCAAGAAAGACTGGTATTTAAGGAAGAAGTTTTCAATATTTCATTTTGTGATACAGTGGATTGAGAAAGTTGGGGAGTGGTGAGAAGAGTAGCCTATGTCTTGAATTTTTATACTACTCATCACTTTGTTTCTATGTTTTGTTTACTGATATCTTAGTTGTAAAAAAATTGAAATATTTGACGAATCAATAATTTAAGGCATTTAGTTTTTTACCCTTATGGCAGGAATGATTACTTTCATTACTAAGATTATTTTCAAGGCCAGGAAATTGCTAATGCTAAGTTCAATCTATTATTTTAATTTTAGGTCACTTATCCTTCAGCCCATGGGGTGTATGAAGAAAGGATCAACAAGATATGTAAGACAATCAATGACAATGGGGTCAAGTTACTTTTCATGCCTTGATTGATTGTTGCTTTTGTTGTTGCCAATATTGTTATGTTTATCATCATCGTGTATATGAATAATTGTCCTAAGAATTTTGTTTCTTACATTCTGATTTCTTAGGTAGAATCTTCCTTTCTAAGCCCTGAACCTCTTCCGTGTTCCTTCTTTGTCATGTCGTCAATTATTACTTTGTTGGTTTATTTTTCTTTATTTCAATTGAATTTTTTAAAAAAATTTATCTACTTTTAATTCATGATTATTGGTTCTAGGCCAATGAACGATGAGGCTCTGTAATGTAAAAATGGTTGATGGACACCAGAGATTAGCGCCATAGTACTTGCAATTGGTTCCATGGAGGAGTTTCGTTTGTTGGCAAACATGTTCAGTCTTTTAGTCATTGGATTCTATAAGTTCATGCCTTGCTTCGAATTGATGCATAGAGTCTGTTATTTATCAGAATCCTCTAACTTCCATCTTGTATTGTTGCTTTTATGGAAATTGTTTATGTTCCATACCTAATTTTCTTAGGTTAATTTATTACACGTCTGTGCATGGAATCAATACATTGACAAGATAAGATAAACCCTTTTTTTACTAATTTTAACTTTTTTTTTTTACTTGTTTTGCTTATTTTTTCTAAAAAAACTTTTTATTTTTTATTTTTCTTACAAGTAGGTTTGACAAGTTGGGCTTTTACTATTAGATGTTTGTCTTCTGAATCTCTACAAAACTGAAATAGAGGTGGTGGACTTGGCATGGCACCTATTGGTGTCAAGAGGCATTGGGCACCATTTCTAACCCCATTTCTCGTGGTATATACTTCTTGATATATACATATGCATGTATATATACAAATTTCTATCTTTTCATGTACATCTTATCAATTTTTAGGCATTCCTGTTAAAGAATTGCATCCTAAAAGTTGGTTTGGATTGAATTTCATTTTTATATCTTATCTTTAGAATTCACTTGTTATTAGTTTTCTTATCATAACTCAATAGATATAACTATGCTTGAAATTCTGAGTATGTCATTTCACATATTGTTAACAATAGCTTTTAATCATTATCATTTATCACTGGCATCACATTGCAAAGGCATTTAGTAATGGATTCTTTTGTCACAAGATATTTTTTCTGCAGTGTTGATTTCGTTGTAGTCATATTGTAGATACGTACTAACGCTCTCAAGATTGCTATCTTCAATGCAAATTACTGGCAAAACGCTTATAGATAGCTAATTTTTTCTTTAAAATTCTATGCTTATAATCTGTAGAAACCAGAATACATTTTGATTTTCATGAAAAATCATGATCTGTCTTTTACCATTTTAGCAATTTTTAGAACTTTAAAATTGGTTTTTTCTTATTATGATACTGATATCGTTCATTTATGTTTTAATTTTTTTAATATATGATGATATTTATTGTGCGCTTTGACTGTACAATAAAATAATTTATTTTCAGTTTATCATTATAAAAGAAAAGCAGTATTATATGATAACACATTTATTATATTTTTTCGCGGCGTATCGCGGGTTATAATCTAATTAATATAAATAAAATAGGAAAATCAATGAAATTCAATCTCATTCAAAAGTTTTCACAGCAAATATCAAGTTTGTACGTAGTGAACGACTTAATAAGTTAATATATTAGTATTGCTAGCTAACATAGTATCATGGATACAATTAAATTTTTGGTATGATGGAAAATATCCACGTATTCAAATTTCGGTATTAAAAATTAAAAATTTTGATTATAAAAACAAACAAATCATCCGCAAGATGGTATTGTGGGATCCATTGCTGTTGAGCTATCTCTATCGCACATGCTGGGCTCAATGCTTATAACTCCTTCTCCCTAAATGTTATTTAATATAAATAAATGAAAGAAATAAAAAAAAAAGAAAAATTTAAAAACTAATTATATACAAAATAATTCTACGTACCTTTGCAATATTTCTAAAGTAAGTGGTGTTGTAGTTTTGAGTTGGGAACAAAATCTCAATAAGATCAGCCAAAACAAGTTGGGGTTGAGAGACCGCACCATCAAACCAATCTTTACATGTAAAAATAAAAAAAGGAAAAAAACAAAACAAAAATATATACTATGAACAACTAGTAAAGATGTGTGATGTAAAATTATATATATGTGAGACCATAAATATGAGAAAAAATTTCACTGCTAATTTATAGAAAACGAACTCTTAATCAAAATATAAATATGCGATTTGAGAAGCGTTACCTAGAGTAGTTAAATTATGAATTCTCTTATCATATCTCCATATGCTTTGGTTTGCAAGAAAAGCAAAACAAGAATGATCTTCAATATTTATGTTTCGGAGGAATGTTGATTGAGTGTATCCTACTGGATCCCAACTGTATGTTTCATCAATCACTACATCTACGGTCTACATTAAAAAAAAAAAAACCATAATACAAATGTTAGATTAATTGCTAAATAGAAAAATTAATCTAAGAAAAAACTCCAATCAATTAATTATATATAATCAAGTATTGATTAGCTAATAGGTAATTTCTTGATAGACTATTAAATTTTTAATTTCAGAAAATTCAGTTCCTGATAACTTTAAATATAAATAAATAAATGAATAAAGCAATGATTAACAGATAAAAAAAAAAAACTTACACATAGGATAGCATGCAAATCTTCAATATCATCAGGATTGGAGATATTATAGGTTATCTTGTTAATGGAGCCATCCACATTTTCTCCTCTTGCATCTTCTACATACTGTTTTCCATTTTTAGTCATATCTCTTTAAAAAACCATCTTCTATTATATTCTATGTATTGAACATAATTATTTAATACCTTTAATTTATATGTTTCCTTGGTGAAGGACCATATGCCCTGCATGCAAAAGGTAATTAAGTTGATTTAGTATATTATACATCAACTATATATAATTCTTACTTTCATTTTCATCTTCCATCCATATATAGGAGGATAATTGAAAAGAAAGTTGTTATTTTCACATAATAATAATAATGAAAAAAAAAGAAAATAGATTTTCATGTTGAAGTGACTAAGATGTACAAGTAAATGCAACAACTGTGATAAATACATTTTTTTAACACATTTTCAATTTTGTTTTTCAAATTAGAGTGATAGGAAATTAAGGGTAAAATTATATATATATATATGTATATATATAAATCATAGAGAGAATGGAAAACTCATCAATTATGTGACAAAATTATAGCTAAAATGTGTAGTTGAAGACATGTATATATATTGTATGCATGCTCTTTAATTTTATAAATATAAACCTACATTTTGGTACTCCATCCATGCAACTATTGGTTTGAATGATTTTTGCTTGGCCTCCGCAACTTTAGTTAAGCACAAGTAATTGTCTTTTACCTGCAAAAATATATATGGTATCATCTTAATTTATAAAATCAAAACAATATCATTCCAACTTTATTGCTTTTATAATTTCTTTTGTAAATCCAAGAAGAATAACAACAAGCTATACATGTATGACACTACTCTAACAATTGAAAGTCCTTAAATTATGTAACTGCATGCTGGTTTAAAATTAAATGAATGACTAACTCATTTGCTTAACAAAGTATCATTGAGCAAGGAACCAAGAAACCAGAAAACATAACCCAACGAGATCGATTTATTAAGCAATGCATTTCGATGTCAGTTTTAGAATTTTGCAAACAAAACCACTTGTTTCAATTATAATTTTTATTGTAAAAATTAGAAAAGCTTAATTCAAACGTTATTACTCTCTACAACTAGTAATTTTTTTTATTTAAATTGTTGGGAATGCTCGCTCATAAGAAGTGGTATCCAATTCAAAGAAAAAAAAAAAAAAAAAGCAACTGCCTACAGTAATTATGTTTCAATTTGACTAATCAGAATTTTTTTTTTTCACGTTTAAAGTAATTAACCACCAATTACTTGATCATGTTTGAAATATTAACTTCCAACAAAAGGAAGCAAGAAAACATTCCATTGACAACTCTAAGCTCCATGGCCATGGGCATGCCAGATAACAGAAGAGAGTCTTCTTCTTCTCTATCACAAACCCTAAACCATTAAAAGTGTTGGTCCTCATAAACATGCTTCACCAGTTGAATATATCACATCTAAAAAGGAAAGGTTTTAACGAATTAATTATCCATCTGATCTGCCTGGCAATAATTTTTAGGACCTACTGCTTCAAATCTGATTGATTGTTAGTGAGTTTGAATAACTAGTTACTGATGACTTGTTTCCCTGTTTAAGGAGTTGCTTTAGAGACGTATTAAGTAAGTTTGCCGGCTATGGCTTCAGGACAGAGAAGACCAAAAGCATAAAGAAACAGCCCATTGTCTGTCCGAACACAATGGGGGCCAAGGATTCCCCTTAATTTTGGCAGCCTTAGGAGCCAACAAAGCTTGAACCTCAGTCCAATACACCAAATCTAGCATTCCTTTTTCATCCCCTTTATGCATCCTTAAAGTTTGATTGCAAATATGCAATCATTACATATGTTTTTTTATTATCAGATTAATAATTCTGCTATTCCAATTGCAGAGATCATTTCTGATTCTGTTTCTGGTTTTTGTTGCCTCTTTTAAATGCTGTGGGATGCAGATTGCCAAATATTTTCCTCTTGGTTTATTGGGTAACCGGGATGCCCATCTTCCAAAACAGGGCACATGTCGAACATATAGCTTTTCATGAGAAATCATTGCAGTAGAAAGAGATGATTGAGGAAGGTTGGAGGTGAAACCCAATCCGATCAGTCCAATTGTCATCATTAAATAAGCTGACGTATGTGAAATGTGAACTTCAAAATTAACTAGTTAATGTTAAGAAATGAAAATACTTACTGCTTTATAGACTTGATTTGCTCTGTTTTCCAAATTTGCGAAAGCTCCCAAGAACTTGATCCATTCTGCTCTCTATCGCAAAACACATAGGATCATACTGGTTATTTGCTAATTATGCGAACTATTTAACCTAATTAAAGATTGCAAGATTGCCAGTAAATCTGAATTAATTACCTGTAAAGGCGTCTGCTCTCCTATAGCGGCAAAGTTTGCAAAATTGCAAACTTGTGAAGGAGGTTGATCCATCTCATTAATGTAACTAACAAAGTGTGCAGCAAATTGTGCAAATTGTTGTGGCTCACTTTTGTTGATCATATTTATTTCTCCTCCTTCAAACAATTTTAGTACACATTCAGAAGCCACCGAGTTTGATGTCATCCCCTTCATGCTTCCTAGTAATCCCAAAAGCTGCATTCATAGCTAATACTATTAGCTTCCCTTTTGATGTCAAAGTAAGAAATTTACTACTTTATATCCAAAGACAATCTTCTTCTCTTTTTCATTGACGTGTTCATAAGTCGGGTTTCCATCAAACCCGATAAAATTTAGATTTTAACGATGTCAATCGAATTCAATTCAGCCTGTGAATACCTTCATTTCCCTTTCTCCCCCTCATATATATATATATATATATATAATTGTTCTTTAATGAATTAAATGTATATCTAAATAATATCCAAAGAGATTGAAAATTATAGTTGACACGCAGTCGTGAGAAACTTAACATTAATATACCAATAAATTTCTGCATAAATGATATTTCGACATCAAAATATCTTCAATTAAAATATAATTAAAAAAACTTTTAAAAAATCAAATAGAAACATTTTATGAGCAAATTTGGAAAATGTTAAAATTTTGAAACAATGATAAATATTTTGAACTTCTAATGGATTTAGCTTTTTAAGAAAAGCCTTGGGCAATTCTCTTTGTTATTTTCCATTTTTTTTAATTCTTTATTTTTTAACTTAAACTTGAGTAAAATGTTTTTTCTTTTCTTTTTTTTTTTTTGTAAAGGAAAGATAAAGAAAATGGGAAAAGAAGAAATAATAAAATAATAAGAGTAAGAAAGTTTTCTCTTTTATTTTGGTTTTTACTTTCTATATTTATTTCTCTTTTTATTTAAAATCTTTTCTTTTGAAAAATTATAATAATATAATTTATACAAAAATCATAAAAATATAAAATTTTGTCAATTTAGTTTTTTAAATAACAAAAAAAGAATGCATGATAAAATTTATAATTGGATAAAAATATACCATTTAATAAACTTTTAAATCTATTCAATTTAATTACAATAAAGACCAGGACTGAAAAGTTAGCGTCATGAAATTAATTTTTTATTTGCATCAATTCTTTTCTTGATTTCCATTTACAATCTTTAAAAGCAAGTTCTAAAATTATTGTCTTAAAAATATATTTTTCCATTTAAAATCTTAATATTTTGAATTTATCATAATTTGTATGATGAGTTAATTTGTTAATACAATCCTCCAATTTTTTTAATACATGCATATTTCACCTTTTTAAAAGAAAAGAAGAAATGATTTTTTGGATTAAGTCTATAATTAATCATTAAAAAAATATTATTGAATTCATATGAAATAAATTATTACATATATATATTTATTTATAAAAATTTGTTTTTATAACTCAATTTTATATATTAAAATAAAATAAATATTCATAAATAAAAAATAGATCCACAGTGAAATGTAGGATTAATTCTAGTTTTTTTTAAATGAAATAAGGATATATATTTAAATGGTTCTGGAGTTTTTTTATTTTAAAAAAAAAAAGGGAGAATCACATATAAAACTTGTAATTTTATTTTGTGTAATGAAAAATGGATCATCGATCAAAACCAAAATCAAAATATGTAGAAGTAGCGAATTAGATCGGTTGTAGTTCTTACCTCAAAAAATGAAACTGAAATCGAGAATATAAGAGACATGAGAAGAAATTTGTTAGATAAAAATAAAGGTGAAATAATGATATTAATAAAACGATGACGACAATGAACAATAATTTAAAACAATGTATAACATCATATTAATATTTAAATTATTTTTGACCTTGAATTATATTTTTTTTTTGTTAAATTAATTTTAGACAGTAAAAATTTAAATATTCGATTCAGTTAAAATAATTTTGTGTTAATTAATGGTTGATATCTAATAAAATCATGATATATGATAAAATTATTATATTAATTTTTATTTTGAAATTAATAAAAAGAAAAATTAAAATTTATTTTTTTGGAATTTTTTAAATTTAAACTTAAAAATAAAAGTAAATCTAGAAAAAAAAGAACTTGAGTGAGAGAAAATTAGGAAGCGTAAAGGAAATAAAGAGAGATCATCTTTTTCGTTTCTTTTTTTGAAGTTTTAATTAGAAAAAAGTTCAATATTTTATTTTTTGAAATTTTTTGAAATTTAAAAAAAAAGAAATATATTTAAAAAAAAATTGTTTTTAATTTTAACTCTTGGATTTTATTTTAAAAATTCATTTCTTTGAATTTTTTTTCATTCTTGATGTGGCGGTGGACCATGACATGGCAATGTTTGTTTGATAACAATTTAATCATTAGACAAGTAAGCTACATCATAAAGGCAGAGGAGTACTCAGGCAAAGAGAAAAAATACAAAAAAAAAAAAAAAAAAAAAGAAGAGAGGGATTGACAACAACATCAGCAGTAGAGAAAGGAGAACCGAGGAATGAAAACTGTAGGCTAGGATTGGTGAGAGAACAAGGACGAGGGAGGCCATAGAGACCCAGTCCAAGCTCAATCAGCATTGGAATTTGACCAATAAACTTGGATCAAATCCAATTGTAATCGGGGAACAAAAATATTGGCTAAGAATCCATTCTTTTATTTTTATTTTATCTATATAATTTCTAATTTAAAATATTACTTAAAAAGTAAGAAATAATATATGATAAATAATAATATTAATTGACAAAAATGGAATAATAAAAGATAATTATTTCTAATATATTTTCTTGACCAAAGATATCTCTCTAGACTGTTGTGATCGTTGTTTACTTAGCCACCAAAACGAGATTTGAAGTCTAAATCCGATTTAATCTGGATAAATCTGAAATATTTAAAAATTAATTTTTAATTTAAAAAATGTTTAAAATATTTTAATATATATTTTAAAAAATGTCTATTTGACTCGATGAATCAATGGAGCCTTAAGCAAAAACTTTTTAAAACTAATTAGGTCTGGCCTTGTCCAATGGACATGTCTAATTTAGATTAAAAAAAAAAAAAAACAATTTAAAATTTTGAAGGAATGTTTCACAAAATATATAGACGAAACATGTTATAGATGACAAAACGCATGATTCTACTTCCATGTAGATCAATTATACCGTAATTACGGTCACATTTCAACTATTTGTTCCTTTAAAATCAATTTTGATATTGCTTTTCATCATTTGCTTTTAATTTAAAATAATTTTTCTCAATTAATAAAAAAGAAAGGGAATTTTTTTTTATAAAAATTATAATCACTTTATTATTTTCTCTTGAATTTGGTGAAAATAATACACTAAATTAAAAAAAAAAATTCCATTAACCACATCCAAATAAAAAAAAAGGAACAAAAATATTAATCAAGGAAATGACATTTTTATGTATTTATTGATTTTAATTACCCTTCCCTCTCTCAAATTAAAAGTAAATGTAAATACCTGGAAAGCCGTTGGTATCGGCTGAAAAGTTAGACAAAGGGATGACAAATGACTTAATCCTTGATGTGCAATATTTTGTCCTTCCAGCCATCCTCGAATCACTCTATTTAATTTTATTCATTCAAATAAATTTTCATCACCCAATCTGACATAGAAACTATACTTTTAAAATATATAAAAAAAAAACAAATCTTTTTAAATATGAAACTAACCCACTATCTCATTCTAATTTAATAACAAATTAAAGTGATAATCCATTTTTGTTCATCATTTATCACTGAGCAAGCTGTTGTTTTAATTTTTAATTATAATTTATAATGTAGAAGTAAGAAGAGTACCTGGATGAGAAGGTAACTCTTGCCATCAATGGCATTCTTAATAACTTTGAAGGTCTGGCCATAGTATATATGGTAGTTTTGGGCATCTTCTACTTTGGAGATGTTTCCCACTTTCACGGTTGCAGCCGCCGTCCCATCTACGGCTGATAGCCACTTCCAACTCAACAACCAAGCCACCATTAACAAGCTTTGCAGCCAACTACAAGCTGGAGACATGATGATGATGATGATGAAGATACAATAGCAAAAGTTTTTGGAAAATGGCGGAGACGATGGGGGGGCAGGTTTGGCTCATCATTTATTAGTTGGTGAGAAAAAAAATGAATAATTTGGGAGCCCGTGAACTTTGCTAAAATTATCTTTTTCACTTTTTTTTATGAAGCAACCCGTGAACCCATGTTTTTGCCTTTTTGTCATCTAATGTTCCAACTGTTTCCATTTTGTTCTTTCTTAACCCATCTTCAAACTATCCTATTTCCATAGGGAAAATCCCATACCATGTGCCCTGCACTACCGCTGCCACTCACCCACTTTTCCAAATTATCCTATTCCTACGCTCCATTATATTATGAATTATGATTTTGATTTTGGAAAGCCATATCATTTCCATTCATCCTTAATATTAAGTGTTGCAACTATACTTACCTACATTTGTTCATCTTTATATTGGAACTAACATATCTATAACAACATTTGACTGATTGAATATGGGATTTAGTTCAAATAGTTCACTTATCTCTTGTTCATGCAAGAGTTGGTTCGATTCAAATTTTATACATAGATTAAATTCAATGTAAAATAGTAGAAATTAAATGTCTACGGAGAAGATTTTTGTCCCCAATCTTGTACCTCAAAACAAAAATCTATGTTAGGAAAGACGTTCGATTATGTCATCTACTAGCTAATCACTAGTAGGAATGTAGGATGTACCAGACTTCTTAATATGTTGTCTGACAAAGTGATAGTCCATGTCAAGAAACTTCATATATGCGAGAGTCAAAAATAGGATTTGAGCAAAGGTATGTTGCATATATGCAATGTGAGAGGAGGATGAGTAGCTGATATATTCAAATCAGATAAACCCTATTCTTTTAATTATGACTTTGGCTATTCCTTTAAAAATATGTCTCTCTTCACCTTCGTTACCATGTAAAGATCATTGCAAACTTATTATCTATGACGTAAAGATGTTGCTTTAAAGATTTGTCTATCACTTTATTTGAAATCAAACTATTTTCAAACTCTCAGATATTTTATTTTTAGTGATTTTGAATCATAGAATTATTTTTTTCATAAAAAAAGTACTATTTAGAAAATTGTATCCATAACTATATATTTAATTTAATAAAATTAAATTTTGACTTTTGATTTTTATTTTAAATTTTCGGGATATGAAATGTGTATACACTTTAAATTAAAATGAATTACATTTATTCACAATATCTATCAATATTAAAACATTACAAATATACTAAAATGAATTTGTGTTCAACTGTGGAGAAGGCAACTTCCTTGGACCTTCCCAAATTAAACTACATCTATGAATGAGTTAAACATATATAGGGAAGGAAAGTTAGTATAAAGTGCTTGCTAACAATGTGCACACAGCCAAAGATATGGTAAGAAAAAATAGTAACTTTTTCAAAAGCAAGCCAAAATCATTCCACCAACTAGCCTTAACCAACAAATATTTTTCTCTTGGTTTGCTCCTTGTTGAGAAAACTGCAATGGCCTTCTCCCCTGTGTCCTTTGCCATGAATCCATCCACTAATTTCTCATTTTTGGCTTCTTCATCCACCTCAAGATAAAAGCTACGCATTAAGAGAAGCACAAGCATGCAAAGGAAGGCACTTGCTGTCTTCTTACATGGCTTTGTGAAGGTGATGATTTCCATACACTTTCCTTTGGAAAATGAATTGAACTTTCTGAAGAAAGAATTTCCTTTGTTATATCTTGCCTCATCTGACTCTTCTTTCCCCATCTGGAACTGGAAGCTAGTTGCTGTCATTGGATTTTGGTGAACCTTAACTGTTTGAGAAGGCACTGTCTGGTGAAAGAATGTGTTGGCAACTTGCTGAGTTGAAACGAACATTCCATGATTAATTTTGATGTCCTCAACAACCTCCTCAAAGCTTGGTGAGCTTGTCAAGTCCTCCATATTGCCCTCGTCTAGAAAGTGCTCATCATCGATGAATCCTTGTGGAAAATCTTCGATTTCTGTATCGTTGATCCCACTGTCATTGAATCCATGTCCACTTTCTCCTACAACTTTATGGAACGAAATAGAATTTTTAAGCATTAGAATTAAGGAACAGGATCATATGACAGCGTCAATCATAATTTGCTACGTACCTTGAATCCTGTTGTCTTCATTTCTTGCAAAACTCGAAATATTTTGTATGGGCACAATCTTGCTTTCTTCCATAAAGCAGTACTGTGAAATCATATGAAAGAACATATAAGTAAGAATTCTGCGTTAAATTAGTATGTGTATTAATAAAGTAGTAAAAATGGTTTTAATTAGAAGAGTTGCCTGCTCTAGATCTTTGCTCGACATTCCCACCCATCTCAAATTTTCAACCATTCGATCTCCCTGACCCTGCACCTCACTTATGTCTATCGACCTTGTACTTGATTCTTCTAATGGTTTATTCATGTATTGAGGACAACTTATCTCGTTCACTTGATTTTGGTACATGCCTTTGGCAGCCATAAAGGTGAAATCATCGGGATTACTACAACTGCCACCCCAACCCCAAGCATCTTGATGTATCAGTTCCTGAGAAGCATGAGCAACCGAAAGAATTTCCTGCAATATATCCGCTTCATGTTGGGTTTCAGGCATTGGTGTTGTTCGCATCAGTTTATAGTTGGTGAGTCCAACTTGAGGGAAATCCTCAACTTCCAATGGAGGCAATGAAAACCGATGCTGTAACCTTGCACATTCTAGTGCCACATCCACCTGCAAAATACATAGTGAATGCAGCATCAATAAAAGGTTAAGTAGCAATTTCTGAATATATCTTTATTGTTGAAAAAGCTTACCTTAGATGGAGGATGTAAGTCCGTTGCATAGCTTGAAAAGGATGGATTAGTTAACCCAAACGCATCTTCGGACAAGGATTGCATCCATTTAACATCTCTTGCATCAGAAATGTCGATAGATGATCTATTGAGAACACCGGGTGAACATGTATCCAACGGGATTGCAAAACCGGAACTCTCTTCGCACCTACCCTCAGAATATAATTCAAGGCTAGAAGAATGCTCACTAGTGATCTGGATTTGATTCGCAGTTGTAGCAGGCTGGTAATGCTCCCCAATAATATTGGGGGCAGTTGCACTTTTCTTAAACACACGGCAAAGAGCATAAGCGTCCTGCAGGAATATTAGTAATTACTATATCAGATAAAATCATCAAACTAGGGAATGTGAATTGAAATAAATAATAATACTATAAGGCGTAAAAGTTGAGGAAATGATGAACTGACATTCAAGCCTGCGGAAGAAGGTTCACATTCTCGCTCGTCAAGACGATATTCATGCATAACCCAGTCGGTTCGAGAACCATGGGGAGCTCTCCCTCGATAGTAAACCAGGGTTTTCTTCATCCCGACAGCACGCATCTGAGAGTTCACTTTCCTATCTTTCCCTGTGGCTTTCCAATACCCAGATTTTGTTGCTCGATTAGTTCTTGATCCATTCGGGTATTTACGATCTCGAGGACTGAAAAAGTACCACTCAAGATCTTTGCTTGGTAATAGTGATTTTCCTGCAAATTAGTTTCATCAGTTTTTTGTTCACTCAATGCATTAAATTTAAAAAAAAAGAAAAATGATATAGTTATAGATGTGTGAATATTAAAAAAAATAAAAAGAAGGGGGGTTCATATGCGTTGTAGAAGAAGCAATCCATTCCTTTTTCGTTGATGCTTTTTTGAGGGTTCACATCCATTCCTTGTCTAGGGTTTTAAGCTATAACTTTAGGATGTTTGACCATAAAGCACATTCGGTGAAAAGAAAACAATCTTCCTCAAATCATTTTCTGAGATTCCCTTTCACAAAAGTGACAATATAATAAGTTTAAGCTTTGGATTTATTTATTCATAGAATATGGAATATATTGTACATGAAGTAATTGTTGTTTCTCTAGCCCTGTACTTAAATACGAGAAATATTAATAAGATTCAAATACCTATCTGTGTGTGTGTGTGTTTTTTTTTAACTTTGTAGCATCTTGTGTTATAAAATGTGATTGAAACTTTTATATGAGAATGTGGATGTTATTACTTATAGTATGTGTCAAACCACAATTCATCTAATGAACCCAATAGTTCATGTGTTTAAACACAAGAAGAATGAACTGAACCTACGAAGATTATCTAAAACTTTGATGATGCCCTTTCTTTTTTCTTTTATTTTTGGAAGAGCAGCCTTTCTTGATATTACTTTGTACTTGTTCATTTCTTCAGCCGCTAATGAATGTTGTTTGTGTGCATATAATATTGCAAAACGAAATTGGCAATGAATATAATTAATGGGTGAGAATACCTGGTAAGTCCCAAGGCTCGCACTTGTAGAGATCCACTTCAGGGATGATTTCTAATTCAATCTTTCGGCCATTAATTTTTCTCTTGAGATAATAAACAACAAGCTCCTCATCTGTTGGGTGGAACCGAAAACCAGGCGGCAATGAAACAGGAGCCATCGTTTTCTTGAAGATCTTATTAATAGGACACACAAACAACTACTGTAAGTGCAAACCCTGGCCCTGGCTTTACGTGTTAAGAGAGAACGAGAGAGAGGGAGAGGAAGACAAGGACCTTTGAGAAATTAGAAGAAGATGCAAAGTATAGAGGAGGAGGAGGAGGAGGCCGAGAGAGAGAGAGAGAGAGTTTTGATATGAAGACAAAAAGAAGAAGAAAAAGTAAGAGGGAGGCGGCCACCCCCTTGGCTTTTGCTTTTCTTTCATTTGACATCATCAAATGATTCCTGCTATCGTTCCTTTGAAGCTTAATCCTTGCTTTCTCTTACAATTATCCCATGCTTCAGACTATGTCCTTTCTCCGAATCTCCGCTACCTCCACGTGCCTACACCCCTTTCTCCCATCCCATTCCATCTCAAAAACCCCCAGCATCTGACTAACCCTGCAAATCGAACTTCGGCTCCCTTTCTCCACCAATTCTCTCTTTTCTCTTGTATATTTTCCCATTATTTTCTTATCTACTGCTAATATATAGAGTTGGCAACTTAATTTCAACTCCAAAAATAACCCCTTTAAACTTCAAATTCAATTTGATTAAAAAAACAAAACAATTTTAATTTTAAATCGAATCTAAAATTACTTAAATTTATGATGGTAATATGCTGCCCCACCATCCAATCCATTGCCAATATAATAAAAATGCATGTACCACATGACATGAACCTAATTTTACAAACAAAACAAAAACAAAAACAAGCAAACTCATGGTAACTGTACATGGGAAACATCCCCTATCTGAACCCTTTTGCTGCTTAATTAAATACAAAGGAAATTTCATTTACAGTGGCTACTTCCTCAAAACTTGTAGGTTGACAGTGACTGTCCATCCTATTTATGGTCGTTCAAGCTGGTGAAACCTCTGTCAAAGTAGTGAACATGCGCTTTTACAAGCACCAACTCTTTACTATTTGTACATGCTTAGCTAGCTAGGTACAATTAGTTCACTGATCTTTCACTGATTTTGGTTTGAGTTAAAGTATCCTTCAATTCCATATTTTTGGTAAACCGAAAGCTGATTATCCTCCCACCATTGCTCTGCTCCCTTCTCTGTGAATCGCTTCCGACTATGCAGCACAACATACAAATGAAATGCATTGAGATACAAATCAAATGCATTCAGATGCAACAAACTAAAAGAGCACAGCCAACCATAAGGAAATCTAAAGACAATGGAAACTAATGAAATAAACCAGGAAATAAAGATACATACATACATACATATGTATGTATGTATGTATGTATGTATGTATGCCAAATTATCCGGACTTTTTTATATGCATGGATTTCATTCATCAGTCTATAAATGAATGTATCGGTATCCATGTGTACGCATATAGATTAATCTCCAATTAGATGATATTTAAAGGGCAAGACCTAGGTGGAGTTCCTCATGAAATCAAAAATTTGCTGAACAGACATATATCCAAAAACTCAAAAGAATTTTCGTAAGCTGTGGTGCTTTATTCAGCTGGTATCAAATAAAAATTACATAAATTTTGTGTCCATTCATAGTTATTAGTATTATTTTTATATACTATTGATCTATACAATGAGCTCTATCAATTTATGGATTTTAATTCTTCAATTTATTATGATTTAATCTTTTTTAGTTGAGAACTTTACTCTACTTTAACTCTTAACCTATAGTTAAAATATAAATAAGATATTAGAAAATTACCTAAACCTCACTCGCTTGAGCCCCTTCTGCCCGCTTGCCAAAATTGTGAAGGTAACATACACCCCAGGTTCATATTGTTCGACCCATTCAACTTTCAAATCTGTACTTCGACTTTGCTCCGATTCCATTTGTGTGACATGTGAGTCCTGCAATGCTCTATCCTTGTCTTCAATTCTGTCTGATCTTGCTTGCAGGGATTTCAATTTATTAGAGAAAACAATAGGAGTTCCACAGAGACTGTCAACTTGTCTGTCTGTTGGTAATTTAACTTCCTGGGGTAAATGTGCCGCAATTAACATAGGATGCGCATCCTCAAGATTAGAGCTATCTGTGCTTAGAGGCACCATTCTAGGCAAATGAACATCAAATTTAGATTTCTGTTCTCTTGCAGCAGAAAATTTCTCTGACATTGAATGAAGCTGCAACAAAAATGTTCATACCAAAGCCATCAAACTTAAGAAAATGTGTTTTTCCATTAGGACCTTTATGAAGCAGTTGCAAGGTTTCCCATTGAGAATTTAGGTACAAAAAATAAATCCACATATATATATATATATATATATAAAATAAAAGCACAACAGCTTTTGTTTATATAAATAATTAGGAAAGAGAAAAAAGACAAGATGCTTCAAATTGCAATTTTCCAACCAAACTAAAACTTCAATCCCAAAATGATTGACACAAGATAAATGAAAGTAATTCCTCAAATTGGCATAGTCCAAATTTATCTTAAATGAAAATAGCTTCTTCAGAATCAAATATCCCTTTCTAATACTAAATCACTATGATTTTGGCTTATCATAAGCTCTCTTCATCCTTTAACTCTTTTCCATCTAAGCATCCTTTAACCCATGCACCTTCCACATGACCATACCATATAAAGCCACTATACATCCTTATTCTCAACCTTGACATAATCAGACGAATATGTTTTCCCTTCTCTTAAACTGGATATCAGCTGTACAAAACTTGTTGAATCCCTCGCACACAAGCCCATCAAAATGAGTCAATAACGAATTCCTAAGTAGTCAAGAGTTTCTGACAATCTTAGCTCAAATTTTTGGAATAATCAGCCACATAATTTCCCTCCCTCAACTGATCAATTCTGCACCAACATACCAGTTATTTGAGGCAATCTGCTATCAACGCATCAAAACAGTGCCCATCAAAGCAATAAATTTAAATGAAAAATTATATAAGTACCCGTAATATGCAAGTATAACTGAGTTTTGAACAACCTTTAGATGGATTTCAACATGATATGAGTTCCAAAAACCTTTCACAATAACCTTAAAAGAAGAATTGGATAAATTACCCTTAATGCCAAAACTTTTATAAAGTCCTTTGCCGCTTTACATTTTTCAGCTTCTTCCTTGGCCAGAGACCAAGTATGCTCAATTTTTTGCTGACATTCTTGAATCTTTTGGCTTCCAATTTGGCATTGCATTTGAAGGTTTCTTGCCTTAGAATTGAAATATATAGATATTAGAAAAGTACAAAACCAATGTGGTATAGAAAAAACGTAATCGAACAGCCACAGAGTTTTATCTAAAAATGAATATGAACACAGGAAGAAACATTAAAATAATCAAGTAAAACATCCAATTCAAAGTCTTGAAGGCAAAAAACCCACATGAAACTCAGTAGCATACGTGTTACAATCCTACATATTATTTTTCCTTCTGCAGAGAGTAGGCATGGAAAGATAGTATAACAAATAAATAATTTAGTTTATAGAAGGGCATGTGCTGTTTGCCTAGCAATGCTGCGACCCATTTGTTTATGGAAAATATAGAGCACGCAAAATAGACTCATCAATGAAACCTTAGGGCCTTAATATATTATATTCCCTAGTTAGAACAGTAATCAAAACATGCATTTTAAATACTTTCTTAGCTTATCAAGAGTACACTACTAGCATGGAACAATAATGTACCATTAACAAAATATGGATAAATGAACTTCAAGGTATCAATATTGCAGAAGAAATCAATCTACATGCTGACAACAAAATTAAAATGGTCCAGGATTTGAATTTCAAAATCACAAATGTTCAAAAGTAAAGGTTTTCGATTTCATATCAGGTAGATAAATAGGTGCTAACATCCAGCAAAACTAGACTCTGTAGGCAAAAACCATATGCAAAACAATGTTAGTTAGCCACTATGTGTTTAAGCCTTAGAGAATAAGTAGGACAATCAGTTTAAATGATTTCAGGCCTAACAACAAGAGAATAACTACCTCAGCTTTCAGCCTTTGAACTTCTTCATTAAGCATCTTATTTGATTCAGGTAAATCTTTCTCCACAATTATGGACTGGAGAACAGTAGATTTTGATTGCAAAGATGTCTTTTGCAAGGAATCTGGGTCAACTAAAGGAGACAGATTTCTAGAAAGAGGAGAACTAGCTGCAGAATTTTTACACTGAGGTGCTTCAAAGAGAACCGGGCAAGACACTTGGCCCCATCGTGGAGTAGCAGCCGAAAAATAAGAGACAGGTTCAAGATATTGTTGCTTTTTGCTTTGGGTCTTTGAGGTCTTCCTCTCAGAATCTCGGTTTTCTTCATAAGTTGAATGCTTAAGTGAAAACAATCGGCTCTTTGAAAGGATCACTTCCTTAGCATCTGCCTCATCATGAAAAGTTCTCTGAGGAGTCAATGGTTGCCTTGTCGTTTCGTTCTCATGCTTTAAAAGCTTGCTTGAATTTGGGATCTTTTGTAGACGATTAAAGCATGGATTACAAACACGAGAAGGCTTGCTTTTATTTGGTGCTAATGATGCATTTACGACCTTCTTGCTACTACATGCATGACAGAACAGAAGACCACAATTGTAACAGTTATGCTTCTTCCTGGCAAACCCAAATGACATTTTGCATCCTCTACAAGCTGACTGATCGTTAATAGTGATAGGTTTGTGTAAACAGATTGCTGCTGTTAAGCTTGACTCACAAGCTATACTTTCAACATGCCGGTCTCTCAACAACTCAACTAAAGTTGGTGTGTTTCTATCTTCAGTATCACCTAATCCTAACTGTCCATTAGTACCCCTCCCCCATGTATAGATGCGTCCTCCTAATGTCAAGACAGCAACATGATATGAACCTGAAGAGATCTCCTTAACAAATTCTTGTTTTAGCTTCCCTTCTACAACAGTGATGGATTTATCCTTGGCTTGTGGATTCCCTAACTGTCCATACATCGCACTTCCCATTGTATAAATTGTACCTGAACTAGTGAGTGCAGCTGTCAGCATTCTTCCACAAGAAACTTGTACAAAATCAAAATCCACTACCTGCACAACACATGTTGGTAAAAGCTTTCTCTCTCCATCCGCATGCCCTAGCCTACCTTTATCACCATCTCCCCATGTGAATAATTTTCCACCATTAGCGCTGAGCTTGTTACGATCAGTCATGATTTCTGCAATAGCAGCCGTGTGCCACGGTCCACAAGAAACGGATTTTACCCACAAACCCTTAAGAGACTCAACTTCTTTTGGTTGCAACAATCTTTGTGTATTCCCATGCCCAAGAACTCCAAAAGTTCCATCACCGTATGTAAATAATTGCCCAGCAGTGGAAACAATTGCCGTATGCCACTCTCCACAAGAAACACTAAGCACATTTATACCATCCAGGGGACCAGAAATTTTATGTGGCAACCATCGGCTTGTATTTCTCACGTCAGCAACTAAATCAGTGCCATGAAAATCACCACCCAAACAATACAGTTCACCAGATTGTGTCAAGGCACATGTTTGATACTCACCACAAGCAACAGCTTGTACAGCAATGCCATTGAGGGATTCAACTAGCTTTGGATAGCTGATATCAATGTTAATCTTGTGACCGAGCCTTCCACCATCTCCATCACCCCAGCAAAAGACTTCACCCTGTTTCGTAACTAGAGCAGCATGTCTTGCTCCCAGAGATATGCGCTGCACATCCAACATTGTTGCAGATTCAAGCAATTTAGGCAACACAGCATCTGTTTTCAACCCATTGTGAATCCCAGAGCTACCAGGGGCACCACAAATATTTCCTTCTGCTACCCCTTCACCCCAGATCATGACATCCTTTAGAATTTCATTCTTCTCTATTTGCGTAGAGCAATGAGTAGGTGTAGCAAACCTGTGAGATGTATTCTTTTGAAATTCTGGAGCTGCATAATTGATTCCCCACCGCTTGCGACTATCTGGCTCAATATATGGAGAAGTTGGCATTAAGTTATCCGTTACATTTTGCATCTGTGACAAGTTTGATTCCGAGGAATAAAAGCTATCAGAAGAATATGATAAGCCATCAGAAAAACACCTCTCTGAAAGTGACAGAGAAGGACTGCCGCATAAGCTCCGTACCTTCAAGATTTAGCAAACATAATAAATTATGTTGATGAAAGTTTATGGGAACAAAAAGGAGTCGCATCTCTAGTGGCAGAGTACTGAAGTTAAGGCATATGAAACCTGAGAAAATTGACTCTTATTCTCCAAAAGTCCTAGATTGTGCTTTCTTCGAATAAAACCAGCAGGACTACTGATACAACTTTGTGCCCCCCTACAGCTCCTCAAAGCAGTGATTGATCGGCCGTTGTTACATCTGGATATCACAGCTCTCAAGCCCACAAACCAAGAATCAGCCTGTTCTTTGTCCTTGCATATCTATGTAAGAGATAGCAAAAGAAAATTCAGCTGTTAAATAATGCCAGGAAACAGTATAAAGTGGAGAAAATAGTAAATGTATACAAGAGGAACTCCAAAGATTACCAAATTTAGTGAGCGTTCACCATTAGCGTAAATAAGTGAAATTGACTGCTGCTCCTTCTCTGGTTGGTGGTGCCTTTGAAAATTTGCCTGCATTATGTCAAACCTCCAATCATGTAAATAAAAATATCATCCAGAATCACCGATACAAAGTAAAAACCAGCAACAATCACGTACGGTCTTCTGCCCAGTCACAATCTTCATAACAGAGCTCAATCTCAATTGCCTTTCCTCTTGTCCTGAATACCAAATCAGATATTTCTCATCCTGAAATACAAATCAAATTTGGCTATTGATCAAGATTAAACAGAAGCAGATTACAGTAGTTCTAGTAGAAACAATTAAGCAACTAAAACTGCTATTATGATTAATTTTAAGAACCAGAAGGAGAACTAGCAGATGCAGTCTAAGTCACATTTCAAATCTTCCTTTGATACAAGCGTCAGCAGCATGTGCATAAGCCAAAGTTAGGCAATTTCAAAAGCACACTATGTAAATGGGATATTCACCATACGATGGTTCAGAAGAGTCAAGCGTCCCATAACATATCTGTCACATCAGAAGTAAAAGATAGTCTTGGATATTGAAATTTTGATAGCCCCAGTGCCAACCTGTTATGTCAACTATAATCTAAAGTTCTCTCCTCTCATTTCTAGAGCTCATATGCTTAACTACTCAATTCGGGGTTAGAAGTTGATATTCTTCTTTCGCCCCTTTTCCTTGTTCAAACTAGGACACTTCAAAATTAAACCAATGATAATTAATTTATAGTAACAAGTATTCAGATAATGAGTTATTAAGGATGATAAAAATTAATGACTTTAGGATGTGTAATCCTGGTGGATGCGTGCCATAATTTGTTCAAGAGGCCATCTAAAGAAACACCATCCTGAGGCGAGCAATCCAATTAACAAGAGCTCAATAACCCTTACCACTCCATCAACACTTCTCATCATCTATACTGAACACCATGAGAAACTAGTTCTCTGCTAGTTTTATCAAAGGGTTAATGTCATGAATGACCCCTCAATCATAGTGAAATATTTAATGTAGTACTTGAATTTTAAAAATCTCTAATATTGTATTTGCATTATAAATATGTTAACTAATGTGATACTCACCCCTATTTTGCTCCAAATGATGACAGGAGGCTGACAAATACCTTTCAAATATCACATTAGTTAACAGATTCATGGTTTAAATACCACATTAGCGATTTTCAAAGTTCATATATCATATTGAATATTTCATTATTGTTCAGGGGTCATTCGTGACATTATCCCTTTACCAAATAGTATGCCATCCTCCATTTTTGTTATGTATCTAAAAAGAGAACTACACAAGGGCCTCAATTATAAAAGTCATTACCCATGTTCACTCATAAACTGAATTTTCTTCCACTCATCATCAATAATGTTTTAGTTAAGAGCCTCATTACATGAAAATATAGCAGTTGAGCAAAAAAATGATTCTTCCATTTCGTTTGGTAAGTAGTGATAGTCCGATAGAAGCTATTCAGTACAGCATTAAGAAAAAAAATTAACAGGCAAAAGAATCCTGGATCTGTACAGCTGCACAATTATCTAGCAGCAGAAGGGATGAAATTGCAAACAAGAGAAATCAAGTTATTGTTGCATCATCCAATAATAATGTTCCAGAGGAATGAACATGTCTTAGAGTTTGTTTGAAAGGAAGAAGAGAAAGCAATGCCCACCGTAGAAAGCCTAAAAGGACAAAGTTTAGGCTTCCCCCTTCTACAACACTTGAGAAGATGTGCGCCCTTCTTCATTGCCAAAATTGCCTGAAACATAAACACAACAGTTAAAGATTGAAAGGCAATGGAAATAGCCGAAAAGAGAAGAGGAAGGGACCTGTTCAACGTGTCTGTCAAAAGGAAGTAGTGATGCTATAGAATCTGCTTCACCCATTTTTTTTAAAAAAAATTTAATTTTATTTTATATTTTGGCAGAGAATTTCATTTCATTGGAAACAAAAAGAGGAAGAAGAGGCAGAGCAGAAAGCAGAGAGCAGAGAGCAGAGAGCAGAGAATAGAATGAGAAGAGAACGAAGTGATAAATATAAAAATGGGAGTTGAGTTTGTTTAGTTGGTTGGTTTCCCCACAAGGAAACCTTAACTTTCACTTTCACTTTCATTTTCACCTTGCGTGTTACTATCTATAATTATAACAAACACACGCACACACTATAAATTTCCCCAGAGACACAGATATAGACATTGTCACAGACAGACAGAAGCAGACATTTATTTTATATTTAAATTTATAAGACAAAAAATAAATATAATGTTTTCTTTTCTTCTCTGGCACTCTTTATTGCATAATTACACACATTTTATTAAGTTTATATGGGATTTGGTAGTCTGTCTGTCTGCCTGTCTGTCAAGGCTAACAACACTCTAACAGTCTATACTTAACCTCCACTCACTCAGTCCCTTGTATTTTACTAGCTTTTTTTTTCCATCATTTTCTTTCGTCCGTACCAAACATAATGTAAGTGAATGTGTTTCTCCCATTATCACTACATTGATATTGGCGTAATCAGATGAGACGGAAACAGTAAGGGTTACTTTTGATAATAACCAAAACGCAAAACAAACAACGATCTAAACCCCACACGCCCATTTGCACGTGTATTCCCATTTCAATTGCCTTTTCCCCCTCCTTTTACCCCCCAATCCTCTTTACGTATTTTCTTCCCAACCATCTACTCTTTTTCATCATTTTGTTTTTTACTTTTTTCCTGACCTTTTGTTTTTATTAAAACTAAAATCACAAATTAACTTTAATAATTTATTTACAAATTATTAAAAAATATATAACTAAAAGTTTCATTCATCTATAAAACATTTTAGAGATTTTCTTTTGAGAATTTTTAATATAATAACATAACATAGCTAAATCTACATTTATTCACATAATAAATACACAAATAATATAAAATGTATTTAAGACATAATAAATACAAAATAAATGCATTCAATGTGGCTTTCTTGCCCCATAAAACCGCCGTGTGAATGCTACCTTTTTTTTTTTTTTTTCATCTTAAATAGGCAAAATTGAGTGAGTTTCAATAGCTGGGATTTCATATTGGGATTGGATTTAAGTTTTGCTGCTTATAGAATGTACGCACTTTAAAAATTATTATCATTATTATTATTAGATATGATGAAGAGAAAAAATTAACTACGAAAGCAAGGAAAGTGAACAAGAAGAAACCAAACAAACAACTCACAATAACACACGAGCAGCAGAAGGCAGGTGAAGACCAAAAGCCAAAACCACTTTTTACAAGAACAACTTTCTTTCCTTGCTATAAAGGACCATCACTTTAACATTATTTTATTAATCTTAATTTAAAGTTGGTCAAAAAAGCAAAACCATCCTACTTATCATCATTATCATTATCTCATAAATTATATAGGCTAAAGAAAGTAGAGCGATTTCAGCCATCAATTTTGTCCTTTATTCCTTAAAAAAATAATCAAGTGCCTGGGCTTTGATTTATACTTTTTAGGACTTGTTTAATGTGACCAAAATAGAAATTTTGCCTTTTGTTATCCAATGCTTTTGAGTATAAAAGAATTTTTTTTTTTTAATTTGAGATAGATAAGTTATTTAATTTTTTAAATCAAGATAAAATATATTTTATTTGATAATTTAAAATAAGTGATTATAAATCATGTATTTTAAATAATTTCAACAAATGATAATCGATAAGATTCAAATTTAAAATTTTTTTATCAAAGAGAATGACTTTAATCGATTGAATCAATTATTCATTGATTTTTTTTCATCATTATACTTTGTGCTTCCGGAACGTGAATCATGCAGATTAACAAGTCCGTACAAGATTTAATCATTCCAAGTAAAATGAATTTGAACTTGAAAACCAAATGAATCTGAATTCGATTTGATAGACAAAATAAAAATTTTAAAATTTAAGATAAGTTAAACATTATATACTTTGCACCTTTTTAAATTATATGAATCCAAAAATTTTTTAATTGTAAATTTTTTAACTTGAATTTTACCGAAATAAAAAATAAATTAAAATAATTATATTTTACATAAAATTTAATTAAAAATTACATGAATTAGTCAAAATTTAAAAAATTAAATATAAAACTATCTGAATTTATAAAATTCAAATTTAAAATGATTCAAATACAAAACAATTGAAATTCAATGTAACTCAAATATAAATTAACTTATTTGCCACTACTAATTATAAGAATTCCAATGGAAATAATTAATAAACTCTCAATACTTCATTCCAATTGATTTTGGTGCAATGTCACCACAGGAGGAATTTCACCATTTGATTCTTAATAAGTAGAGGTGTTCATGGAACGAATCATGCTCAACTAGTCTTTCAAAATTTATACTCAAGGTTTGGTTAAGCTCATCAAGCTCAAGAGGCTTAGGAAATTTTTAAAAAGTATTAAAATATTAACATTTTAACATTTTAAATGTATTTTAAATTTAAATTGAATAAAAAATATTTTTATTAATTGAATAATAGCTTGAGGTTGAACCAAATCAAACTTCGACTTAAAAAATTTTGTCCAAAACTCAAGCGAAATGAATAATTTGATCTTCAAACAGACCAACTAATAATAATAAGATGACATTAATTATTAAAAAGATGATAAAACAATTTTTCAGAATAAAAAAATTTAGAAATTATTTGGCAAGATTAAATTAAAATTAATAAAATAGTGATATAACATTAAAATTCAAAAATTATAAATAAAAATCAATAATTTTTATATATTTTATTATTTTTCCTTTTCTTTTAATTTGCCCTTACTTGAAATGTTGGTTTTATTGCCGACAAACCAAGCAAAATATAACCCTAGATAGGCCGTTCAATGCCGAGCCAATCTTATGAGGTTGGTTTTGCCGACAGATCAAAGGAAACAAAATTCGACAAAAATATTTATTTCTTGCCCAAATGAAAGAAATGAAATGCTTTCGGAACGTAAGAGAAACTTATTTTTATATGAGTTAACTTTTGCATATGCTACTTGAATTATAACAAAATGCATAAATTAATATCTGAACAACTAAAATAAATACAATGTACATTTTAAACTTTTAAAATAAATATAAAGTTTTTTGTTCAATTTTAATGCTTGTAGATTTCAACTAAAACCCGAGTTGAGAGTCTGTATAAAGTTGCCTTAAATGACATAACTTGATTATGATTAAAGTCTGGATTTAGGAAAGCTCAGTGATGATTCCCATGCTAATTAAAATGATATTGTTTTTAATAATAATAATAATATTTACTTATTACTCACAATATAATATGAAAAATCAAATGATATATAAATATAATTTTAATACATTAAATCTAAATATTTTTATATTTTTATAAATATATGGCATGTAGATTAATTTTTTAATAATTAATATATTAAAAAATATAAAAATAAATCTCAATTTAAAATTATTCACGTGTCGAACTAACCGTCCTATCCTTGAGACTGGCTTGATCCAAGCTGAAGTCTCGACCATGATTTAGGATGTTATTTTATTTAATTTTAATGTTAATTGTACAATATATTTAAAAAAATTTTAAATAGAAGTTAAGCTTCTGTCGGATGGATATGATTTTTCAAAAGCCAACCGAGTACAATCCGACCTATAAAACCTATCATCATAACCTTGGAATATAAGAAACAAAAATTCCAATTGCGGAGGGCAACCTTGTAGTTGACAAAAGAAAGACACGTATTGCACTTGATTTGAATTAAAAGTATGATTTGACAAAAATAAAAAAGGCATGTATCGTAGGTAGGCTAGGAAGACCCATGTTATGTAAAAAGAAAAAAAAATTAAAATAAGACTTGGTAATAATGCTATATGATAGGATGTTGGGAACACGTACGTGGTTGTTGTGTTGTGGGTGTCGTTGTGTGTTTTGAGAGACAAATGTATTGATATTGGTGTGTAGCCCTTCCTTCAATTCATTTGCAAACATTTAGCCCACCACCATACACCAATTCGTGCCATGGATTAAAGGAAAGATAGCGACTTATGATCTCTTCTCATTAACAAAATTTTAAAGTAATATATTATTTTATTATTATAATTTTTTACAAATAATTTTCATATTTTAAAAAAACGTAATTATATAATTGTTAATACTATTAAATATATCTTTTTCAAACAATCATTTAATAAAAAATAAAAAATTTTATTCTACAAATCACTGTTTTAAAATGTTCAAAAAAATTTTTAAATTTTTATTTTTTAATATTTGAGAGTGTTTATAAACATTCTACTATTTGCCATGGATCCAGTGACATATGGACAAAAGCATTTCCGCCACTAATTGTTGCCACGCCAATTTGTTTTTTTCTCATAAATTATTCAAATTAGTTTGGTGTCACAAATTTTCTCTAATACGCAGTGTGGAAATTGTTGCTTGCTGAAATTTAATCCGTGAGTAACATGGCTTGATACACTTTAGAATGATAGAACTAATATATAGTGATCTTATCTAATCAAGTACCGCCGCTATCCCATCAATACTGTCACAGTCTTATTTTTATTTGTCAACTTTCTTTTTTTTTAAGTTTGATTCCATTATATTTTAAATATATCATTAATTAAAATATGAAAAAATATATTTGAAAAGCAATTTTTTAATGTAAATTTTATAAATTTTAATTGATTAACTAACCAAGTTTTAAAAAATTGAAAAAAAAAATTAGCTGAAACAAAGGGAGTATTAGTTTATGGTAAAGGGTTCCAAGAAGAAGCTATGATTTTAATTTGTTTAAAATATATGTAGCAATTAGAAATGAATTAATGATGTAACATTTCAAGAAGAAATTCAGAAGTTTGTTAAAACGCATCTTGCGAGGACAGCATATTCACCTAACAAAGCTGATAGGTTACATCTTACTTTGGAAAACTACGCATCTGGACGCCCCTACTACTCTCATTATCATATAATAACACACCATTATTAGCTTAATCAAAATTATATATGACTCAAATGCATGCCTTTTGAAAATGATAAACAATCGATTGCATGCATGTATTAAATTTACATCCCAGAATTGTCAATTCCCGCCAGCTACAATAAGACAGCATGCAGGAGATGATGAAGAAGAAGAAGATGAAGAAGAAATGCATTCGAGAAACTAAGCAAATGGCGGTAATAGATTTGGAGCATGTGCATGTCCTGGTTTGTAATGAGCAGAGGGTGAGTTTGGTATACGGAGAAAGAGAACAATTTGGGAGCACGTGGGTCTGTTTTGTCAGTCCAATGGTATGGGCGTTATGGAATAGAAAGGATCATACTATGGCTGTCCACATGCATTTGGCGACAATGGTTTACAAAAAACATTGACAAGCAGTAGCTAACATGCTCCAAAACTAGTTGCTTCACCCACCATCACATGCTCTTATCCTCTTCTCATATCTCCCAAACCTTTTGTGACTCCTCATCTCATTTTCGACTCCTCCCTCCTGCTATTTGCTAATTCTAGCTCCATTTTCAGCCACCACAAGTGATCACATGTCTGTAATTATTTCTTGATGAGAAGGTATATCTAAACAGATATATGATACCAAATTACATATAAAGCTATATATGACATTTAACTTTTGATGGAGAATTTATTAAATCTAACTTTTCTATCATATCAGATATAGATTTATATCAAATACGGGTGTGACATTGTCAATTACAAGTTATATATATAAGTTCAACATACATGAATCCAACATGTGTAATGTTGGTTGTATTAGGCAGATCCAAAGTTTAATTATTAATTAATTAGCACATTTACAACGACATATATCTAACTCCTAATAAGGTTGAGTTAGGATCACAGGATTATAACGTGTGTCATATGACTTGTAATTGTAGGAATTAACCCTAATTAAGTGTACTTGTAAAATCTCTGCCCTAAATTTTCTTTAGAATCCATTAAGAACTTTAGGGTTTGAAGTGTGTGAGATTGTGGACATAGTACATATTTGCCTCATAGACAAGAAAGATCAAGAAGTAATTAGTTCCCATGAAAGTTTGTGAAGTAAGCATCAATGAATTGGGTTAGGTCATATTGGCATTGAAGTAGATAAATCCTAATAAACATTTGGTTTGCCTTTAGTGATATATATAGAGTATATATTATATGCTTATTTTCACCTCTATTATATATACTGCTATGATTATTTGCCATGCTAGAATAACTATAATGGCCTAATTTAATGATGAAACTTTGATCATCTCATTTTTAGGCTGATGTTTTTGTTACATGAACATATATTCTGGGGTAGTAGGAACTTGTACAAATTTTTTATTATCAAATGCTCTTATATATGGCATAAGCAAATCGAAGCAAAACTTAAAAAAATGACTATAGATTTTTCTCACATGAAATTATTTTAGTGAATAACATTTATATGATTAAAATCCTTATTGTCTTGTATGCTTTTCATGCATGCAAATATTATTTAAATTATTTATAGAGATGATAAATGAAAATTAAAGGTTTAAAATTTGGGAATTAATTAAATTGAAAAAACAAGAAAAGCTCCAAATATGATATGTGAATGGAAGAAGATGAAGAGCAAAATAAACCAAAGCCACACTTTCTGAAATTCAACTATAATTGATGGAACTCACCAACACCAACACGGTTTGAATTTTGGTTTCTTGGGTGGAAAATTGCATTTTTTTTTTTTTATGAAACTTGCTTTTCTTTTTTTATTTGGTAGAAATAATATTTTTGTCAAATACAAAATTTTAAAATGTTTTTTTATAACAAAAATTATTTTTTATGAAAACTAATTATTGTTATATAACCAAGTAACTTTGCATGCTATTTATGTTCCAAAAACTTTTGCATAAATAGAGATTATACTTTATTATAATATTTAATTGTAAATAAAATTTTAAGTTATCAATTTACTCCTTTTTTATTTGATGTAATTTTTGTATTATTATTTTTTATTTTCAAACAATAATATTTTAAATAATTATCTTTATTTTAATATTAATACTATTAATTTTTTAAAGAATAAGTACTATTACAATTTATCCTATCGTTCAATATAAATTTTTATTTAAAAAAATAACTCGGTTGATGGCCCAAACCGGTCTACGAGGTTGGTCTCCAACACTTACGGTTGGAATTCGATACAATTCACCACTAAGATATTGTGCTTAAATTGAAAAAAAAAATGGAATTGTTCTTGATATTTTTTAATTCTATCTCCCATATCAATTTTTTATTATAATTATTTTTTATTTTATCTAATTTTAATATTAAAAATTTTTATTTAAACGATGCAATTACAAATGCTAGTAATTTAAATTGATGTATTTCAAAATAATTGCATTTTATTTTTTTAAAATTTAAAATTTCTCATGAAACATATCCTCAAAGACCAACAAAATAGAAGTGGAGGGGCTGAAAATCATTTTAATCAGGCTTTAGGTGGCTGACTTGGGTTTCACTTTCAAAAAATGAGATCGAATTTGGGTAAAATTTGAAACTTGGATTGAAGTTGAGCAAACAAATATGAAGTTAACATTGGAGTTAGGCCCGCTCCATGAATAGCTCTGTTTGCCATCTAAATTCATATAAAGGAGCACGCAGGAAAGGATTTAGCTTCCATATCCCACTACGTGCATGGCCGATGGGTTCAAAGGATCAGATATTAAAATGAAAAAGTATTTTTCATGACGCATACAGCAATAAATAAAGAAAGAATTATAAGAGGATTAGGACCAAAGAGTAATCCTATATTAATTAATAAAAGCAGCATTCGCAAACCAAAACACAATTATTGTTTGTTTCGCCTTTATTTTTGTATCCTCCTCATTAGCTATGAGAGGAAGAACGGTCGTCTGGTGCAACACAAAAGCTCAAAATACAAGTTAAAACGAAGAAAAAGTAGGTAGGTAGGTTGGAATAGGAAGGCAATTATATGATATCTGTGTCTTAATTAATTAGTCGATGCCCAGCATCTTCCTGAACATCAACACAAATTCATAAACCTTTTCAGGGTCTGGAACGACTTTAGCAACGCTCTCTCTTTTCAAACATCTCTTCATCCATGCTGAAAACTTGGGGCACTCGTCCTCCACCTTAAGCCCGCCCAGCTTCTCAACCGCATAGAACCAGCTTGTTAGAGGGATTGCTATGATGTCTACGAACCCAAATGTGTTACCACCGAAGAAATCTTTGTCCCCCAAGGCGTCCTCTAACTGCTTCAAAATCTCTATGAACTCCCTTTTAGCTTCTACTGGTGCCTCTCCTTTGCTTCTCCATATGTTGTCGCATGCATCGAATACCTGATTTGCAACATGCATGTTGATGATGCTTTTAACCTTTATATTATCAAGGATATATAAATAAATAATTAAAGAAATTAGTTATATACCTTTTTGTCAATATAATCAGCCCAAAAGCGTGCCTGAGCTCTTCCATATGAACACGGTGGGAGCAGCGGAGGGGAAGGCCAGGTCTCATCAATATAGTTAACAATGATAGTTGACTCACACAAGGGTTTCCCGTTGTGCAGAAGCACCGGGACTTTCTCGTGGATGGGGTTTGATTTGAGCAACAAATCACTTTTGCCCCCGAACAAGTCCTCGGTTCTAGCTTCATATTGAAGCCCTTTCTCCTTTAATGCTATCTTCGCCCTCATGCAAAATGGGCTAGCCCAGAAGTCTAGAATAACAAGCTCCACCTTTGACATCTTGATTTACTATGAACAGCTAGCTAGGCCTCTACTAATCTTTTTTTGAATTTGCAGTGGAGAAATGAGTAAAAATGTACAAAATTTATAGGCAAGTTCTGCCCCTTGACGAGCTTATCAAAGTTTTGCTCTTCCAAACAAGTTTTCTCGGCATACCCTCTGGAAAATGCTAGTGCCTAGTGATTGTCATTTGACTAGTTTGTATTCCATTGGCTTTATGTGGTGAAAGTTGTATGCTCTGCTTGTGCTCACAAGGTTTGTCTTTTGAGTACATTGGAAGATACCCATTGGAAAGCAAAATACTAACATGCTCATCCTTGCCTGCAACTCCACCCTAACACCATCTGCATACGAACCAGTTAAAATTTCCATCATTTAATTTTAACACCCATACTTTGTTTTTTGTTCCAAGCCTACCCCATACAACCCAATTAAAAACATTTTCTTCACAAATCATATATTTTCATTTCATTTTATTTTTATTTTTAAATATTAGTATTAATATAAAGTAATAATTAAGTGTGCATGCAGGGCTGTGCTAGGTCTGACTTTTAAAAAGAGGTACAGTAGGCCAATCCCAAACCAAGCCTAATCCGGCCATGGTTGCCATTTCTTTTTCTTGTTGCCAACACAAAGATGTAATCAATATTATTCACAATATAAATGAGTTCTTTTGCTAAGAAAAGACGCTAAAAGGGAAAAATATATATATATATTCACGTATATCCTTTCATGTGGAATTTTGCTGTGGAACTTTGACACAGACACAGATGTGAAGGAAATAGTCTGGATTCATTAAATTGTTTACCACCCAAGAAAAGGGTATCTCTAACTTTGGTTCAATACCCTGTATACGGATAAGCTTGATTTCAGCACTACTGGAAATGGAGCAAGCCTCTCGGTGTTCATATGCGTTTTGTACGTGGTCTTCCACAACTTTATCACTGCTCACATCTTCAGAGGGAATTCTCAGTGCATCCTCAAAATCTACTCCAGCTGATTTTACATTCATTAAATCGTTTGAAAAAAATTCCGGCACAAGAATTTTCAATGCATCATGTAAAGTGAAGCATTTATCTGCACAGAAAGAGCAATACAGATAGCACAAACGCAGACAACGCATATTCTCTAAGATAAAAATTTTAAAATCCACAATTGGGTGCAATGGAAGAGAAACAAATTATGAGTGTCCAGTTCTGATCCACAAACCACATCAGAAATAAAGGAGATGACTATGAGTGCCCTATTATTCACTTCTCCACATGCACAGCTTTCCAGTTCACATATTTGCTTACCTTCTTTGTGGATCTCAACAGGTCGGTTTATGTAAGAGATCTTCTCCCAACTATCAACTTTGGGCATGTCTTCCAAATCATCAAAATCCTCGCTTACACTCCATACATACAACCTGACTGGAACTCTACCTAACAAGAGCTCACCAACAAATAAATAAATAAATAAATTTAAGGGAAGTGAGGACAACAAAAGAGCTATTCCAAAAATAACATCCCAAGTCCCAACCATATGTAATGCAATCTGAATTGCTTCTTTTAAGCATATAGAAAGAAGTTGCAGCCACATATATCAACTGGTTAAGATGCAAATGCTCATATTTATCAGTGCATGCTTGACTAGGTATAAAAGTCTAAAATGTGCATTTTCGTGAATCATGATTGGTACTGACAGCAATTTTCTGTTCTAGATGGATTATATAAGAACAAGTTCAACAGTATTTTATATCAGTCAGTATGGTTCGGCAATTGAATGATAAGTTGTAGTCCAACTTTACAGATGATTTTTTTTAAGAACTTTCAGATGATTTAATCTGATTCATGGCTGCTTTGCTATTAGTTTGGTAAGACATTGCTACTTTGGCTATTAATGATTTCTTAGTAGTAAGGGTTGGCAGACTGCCAACATAAATCCATCCACAGATTAATATAATTATACATCAAAAACAGGCCACATTCAAGAAGAGGAGCGCTGGGAACATATTTAAAATAGGTAGATAATAGATGCAGATAATAAAAATGTCAAGAATATTCTGGGGTCCCTATTTGATAAAGGACTGATTTACAACTTATTTTAAACTAGATGTAATTCTCAGATTTTAAAGTGTTAAAGAGTATTCCGGTTTGAATTATGGGATTTTAAAAGATTGGTATTTTGGATATTTGAGTATTTGGTTATTTATATTTGATAACTTTTATTGAGATTTCAGATTATTTCTTGAGTATTTTGATTTGAAAATACTCGTTCTACATCAACTTGTTAGTTCTGCTCCACAGCATATTATCAATGCTCTCATTTGGATAAACTTTCTCCAGTTATCTCAAACCTAAAGCATTAAAATATTCCACATTTCTTATGAAACAAAACGAGGACCACCTAACTTGATTTGATGCAATTCATGGGTCTTTAAGTATAATAACAAATATGCATACCAGTCTTAACTTGTCCAGCCAAATCTGTCTCCCCAAAACCTTGTTGAGATTTTGACGAACACAAACTTGTATGCTCATCCTCAACCGTTGCAAGTTTAAGCTTAGATGACACTCGTTGGTATGTTTCCAAATTACCTGCCAGAAACCAATTTTAGGACTCAAAATCTTGGAACAAAAAGAATGTCACTAAGAAAATGGAAAAGGAGGGAGAGTGGACTGGAATGGTGGGAAGGAGGAAGAAAGAATTGACACATGAAGAAGCTAGACAAGCATATTTGTATTGTTGCTGGACAATCAAGTTGTACCATGTTTTGCAGGACTAGAGGAAAATACAACATAACTTATCAATTATGCTCAGAACTAGTTTTTCAATTATTCAGACTCCATTACAAATTGAATACCCATTTTCTTTTTTCAGATATCCCAAAATCATGTCCTTTTTATTTATTTGAAAATCTAGAATGCTTGCTTTTTCTTTATATTGCAATCCTCCCAGGAACCCACTTCCATGAACCATAATTGAGCCATGTAGAATGTGGATTGAGCATAGATTACTCAACCCGCCAAAACAAGCTACTCAAAGTAATCAAAGTTAATCAACTACAAAGAAATTGGTTGAATATGTATCCCGCAACATGCCCCAATCAAGCTACTTAAAGAAATCACAGTAGCAAACTGCTCTTTTGCATCTTAAAAGAAAATATACACTCATGATAAAACTAAGTTCGTCCATGTTAGGTCATAGACTAATATAGGACACACCAAATCAAGTTATGGAGAACTCAAACAAAGTAAAAAATTGCTTTAGAAACAATACCCCACTGTGTGTGTGTGTATATATATATATATATATATATATAAAACCACCTTAACCTTGGAGCTGCTTAACATCACAACTAATATGATTGCATTTACTTATTAAAAATGATAATAGACCAAAAAGACAAAAGCTAGTCTCGAGTCCTTATTGATGAGCACACATACCATTCATGACAGAATGCCAAAGCTCCAGCTGATCAGACTGAGACATGTTCATAACATTCTTGCAATTTCCATTCATTATATATGCTGCCTGTTAGCATAACAGAACACTGTTAAGGATAAGCAGTAATGAAGCATCCTTTAATTACCCAATTGAATTGAAAATGTTTCAAATAGAGACAAATCTGAGAGGAGTAAATAAACACAAGTGACTGGCTGCGCTTATACAAGAACAAGATACTCCAAATGAAAAAAAAAAATGAGAAAGACAGCATATTGAGAGACAGGAACATTCAGCATTTAAGGGATTTGATTTTCTTTGTCCTGTATTTTTTGAGATTAAAAAAAGAAAAAAGAAAAAAAGAGAGAGAGAGCCAAAACTCCAGAATCTCAAAATTTGACAGAATGACCTTTTCTGTAATCTTAACAGCTAGTTAGCTAACAAAATGTTCTCAGCATTAAGGCTTTCTTGATGGAAGGTGGGTGGAAAAGTGGAAAGCAATGATTTTCACTAGTGGTAAAAGAGAAAAGTTGGAGGAAAGAAAATTGGAAAGATTATCATTTTCTATCCTTATTAACAAAAATAAATCATTCCAAATTGGAAAGCTTAGTGGAGGGAGAATGGAAGAGAAGTGAGTTAAGCGTGCTTATTTATAAAAATAATCCATCATTTTTTTAGATGTTGTCTTTTTATCTTAACTTGCAAAGGATATAATGATTAAATAATGTAATATTCAGTTTCTTTCCTTTCATTTCCTACCAAGAATACTAATGGGAAGGAAAAATACGCATTCCATCTTTTCACTTTTCTCCCCATCCAATCTTTCCATTTTTCTATCCATTCTACCAAGCAAAGCCTAAATGACAACAACACGAACTGTGAATTACAACAGTATTTAGAAATAACTTTTCATGCAATGCCAGAAAATGATGCCCACTTCAGCTACTTATTTCTTATCTCCAACAATAAAACACTTCAAGTCAGTTCAACTTCTTCCACTCCAGCATTTCTAGGTCATCCATAAACATATATTTCTAGAGGCTAATTACATGACCAAGAGGCTGTGAATTGTCAACAAGGTGAATTGCGGGCCAATATTAGTGCCCAAAAGTTAACAGAGAAGGATACTAATTTTCCCACAAAATGGTTAATTCTAATGATTGAAACGACTGAGTTTGAAAATAACACAGTTTCAACCATCCTTGTACAGGCTGCAATAACAAAAAAGATTTAAAACCTTGATTGAATAGATTGCAATCCTTTATCAGCATAAAAGACCATAGCTAACTTTGAAACGACCTCCTAATCATCAAGATTTTAGCGGCAATTATGGGAAATTAACAAAAGCACCTAGGCTAGAAGTTTATAGAATGGTTCTTTTTTTTCCTTCCCCATTTCAGTTAGCTATTAATGCTCAAAAATGAAAATGACAAAGGAACAAGAAAAGGCAAGACAAAAAAATGCATTGAAAGAGAACAAAGGGGGTGTACAGGTTAGAGGAGGGGAGCAGTTTAAAGAACTGTTGATAAGTCATTGACATTCACAATCTATGAAGCACAGAGACTAATGGGCAATAAGAATGAATAAGAGACAATATATTCAAAGCAGAAGGAAAACTATTTTGATTTAGTAATTTAATATATAAAAAGTTACTGATGGAAAAGGTCAATTAAATCTAATCCTAAAACTGTTTAGCAAATCAATAAATCTCAAACATACATAGTACCTAGTAGAATTTTTAACCTTTTGAGAATTAGTAACAGTAAATTTCCCAAGAAAGCAGTGTTATCAAATTGTAGGACACCTGTACTAACCTCTTTTAATGAGTTTATATAGCTCCACTTCACAGAATCTTCACCTTCACAGGGTATCAATACAGTTCCCGGATATCCTCTAAAATGCACCTGCAGGCAGATCAAAATTTTATCTTTAACCCAATAATTAATTAATGGGATAAAAAACAGGAAAGAAGTACAATTACAAACATCTATCATACAAAATATCCGGTTTCTATAAATTCCCCACGGATAAAAAGACTTTCCATCTATTCAATCTCACCCCCCTTATTCTTAATTTTCATCATGTTGGGGTAGGGTTGGGTAGGTTTAAATCATCTATCAAAGTAGTTTAATAGTCCTTGTATTTAGTAGGTGCATAGAAACTATGATCCAGCAATGACGTAGTAGAACAACATATTCAGAGGCAAGCTAGAAGATACAAGCAGTGACTAATTTCAATAATTAGAGCAAAAGTAAGGGGATATACAGTGAGATTCCAAGGCCTTTCAGGCTCGGCGCAAAGAAGATCAAAAAGAACCCCAGTTGGTATGTACCTGCAACAAGAAAAGCTTTTGGCTTCAGGTTTCAAATATTTTAAACAATTAAAAGAAAAACAAAACAAAAAAAAAATTCGTTTATAGAAAGAGGAACCATTTGAGAGGGAGGCCATTGTAGTCGAACCAAATGGTATCAACGCCGGGAGGAAGTGTGCTGCTAAAATAAGGCTTGAGCAAAGAAGCTAAAAGCGGCAGATACCCGATTCGTGGAGCTAAGATCTGAAATGATTTATGATTCGAATCAGCAATAGGAACAGTAATATAAAAGAAAAAAAAGAAAGAAAAGACTTGACCAGGGCAGGTGGAGGAGGAGGCAGAGTGGTGACTTGGGATTCGTGGAGATGGATCTGAAGAGGAATCGCCCCGTCCCACACATACTTTTGTGCTTCCATTCTCTTCTCTATCTCTATCGTCGCCGTCTTTTTCAAGCTTAAAAGATAGAGGAGGCCGGTTAACGCTGTCGAAACCAGAACGGGTCCGGCAGCGTTTGGGAGGGAGAGAAAGATGCGGCTCTGTTTTGGGAGGAAAAGAATTAATAATAAATAACAATAACATAATATTGAGAAGTAAACAAATTTTTGTTTTCTAGTATTACATTTAATTTTATTAAATTACTATAAACTACAGATTTTAAATGTCTGACAAATAAAAATAAATTCAAGCTTGAAAATAAATCTTTATTCTTTTCACTATATTTATTTATATTTGAAAATAATTCCTCAATAAATAAATAAAATAATACCATGTAGTTTTATATATTTCATATAAAATATTATAAATTGCTAAAAAAAAAGTATTATACATAAAAATAATGGTAATTATGTAATTAAAATAAATGAGTGGTGGGTTTTTGGTCTTTTCAAATGGGATATTTGAGCTTTTAACGCAGTCCCAAACAAAATATAAACGATTCATCATTACTAATAATTTATTCAAATTTAATTTATCGAATGAGTTAAATTTAATATTTTTAATATTTGATTTGAATGGTTTGTAAATTTAATTAAATTTTTATATTTTAATAAATTTTTTATTATTTTAATTAAAAATTATTATTTACTTTTATATATATATTAATTTGAGCTCGACTTTAAATAAATAATTGAATTTAAAATTAAAGATGAAAATCAAGCTCTTTTTTTTATTTAATAAATAAATTAAATAAATTTAAATAATATAATTTTCATCTCAAATCGTACTCAATTTAAATTTTAAAACTTAGTCAAACTCAAGCCAAATTTAAAATAATAAATTTCAAATTGAGCTCTTACTCAAGTTTTTTATTATATTAATTTAATTCAACTAAATTACATCTCTAACTTAAAGCTTTTTAGTATTTTTTTTCAACAATTAAAGTTATTCCAATTTATTTTTTTTGCCATTAAAATTATTCCACGAATTTGTGTGTAGCATCTAGATATAAATTATTTCAATTCATATCTAGGAATATAATATAAATAATTAATTCAAATTTGATACAATTAAAATTTTAATAATAATTATATATAAATTTAATAAAATTAAAAATATATATTTTATATTTTCATATTGACATAAATTATCACACATAATTTTTATATAAAATATGATATAAATATATAAAATTTAATATTTTATATAATATAAATATACAAATCATCGAATTTATCCGTAGCTATACCCTACCACAATACATTCACCTCTTCTCAAGTTCACCAAAATTATAATTATTATTAAAAAAATTCAAATAAACAAGTTTTAAATTTTAATTTTCTTTAAAAAAGTGTTTTAAATTTAACTTAAAACTATTTTTTTAGTTGAATAAATAAATATAAATAAAAAATCAAATTTGTTGATGAAATATTTTTCAGATGTTATATTCATTACAGCCATCGATAATGGAACATTTTTGTGCAAAGTCTTATAATTCTTGAACAAAAGAAATTAGAAAGGAGAAGAAAAAGATTTTTTAAAAAATAAAGGCAAAAAATAGGGCCGATGATGAGATTTCAGATTTGGTAAACACGACGCAACAATTAACAACCATAAATAAAATAAAATAAAATAAAAAAATCCAACGCTACGGTTGTCCCATTCCTTTCGGTTTTGGCTTTGATGCGAAGCCAATTAAGAAAAAAAAAAAACAAACTATTCACCAGACAAGCCTGAAAAAGTTTACTTTGAGAAATTGGCAGATCTATGATTGAGGCACGCAAAGGGAAAGAATGAAAAGAAGAAGACGTTGATGATGATGATGTTGGAGGTAGTACAGTTGGGAGCAGCGGCGGCGTGCGTGGTGGTGTTGGTTCCAATGGGGATGGCTGGATTGCATTTGAGCCGAAACAAGATGCTGTTTTTCAGCGGTGCTCTTTTCATTACTCTGGCTGTTTGTGTCCATCTGACTCCCTATTTCCCTTCCGTTTCTGATTTCGTAACCTCCGTTTCTTCTGCTGTTGTGTTCGATCACCGCACCTCTTGCATCAATTTGGTTAACGACATTTCTTGGGAGGTCAAGCCCAACGCCTCTCTTCACACTTTCAACAATCTCTCTTCCTCTCTCGATTTTTATGACAAGCGCTGGGATTGGTCCAAATCCCCCAAGCTGGACGCCTGCGACTTTCAGAGGTTGTCTGCAACCGATGCTTCCGACTTACTAAACGGTTCCTGGGTGGTGGTTGCAGGTGATTCCCAAGCTCGATTATTCACCCTCTCTTTATTAAATTTGATTTGGGGTTCCGAAGCCAAGCGCATGGATTCGGTTAGAGCTGATTTGTTTAAGAGGCATAGTGATTACAGCATTTTACTTGATGAAATTGGTATGAAATTGGATTTTGTTTGGGCACCTTATGTTGTGAATCTGACCAATTCGATGATGGCTTTTAAGACCAAAAAGAGTTACCCTGATGTTATGGTCATGGGGGCTGGTCTATGGCACATGCTTCATGTCACCAATGCATCAGACTATGATTTCGCCTTGCGAATGTTAAAAAGTTCTGTGGTTTCTTTGTTGCCATTTTCACCTGAGTTAGGCATGAATGGACCAGTTACTGGTTCCGTCTCCATTAAGTCACCCCATTTGTTTTGGCTGGGGATGCCCATGCTGATCAATGGGATGTTGAACACACAGGAGAAGAGAGAGAAGATGAGTGATGCAATGTGGCATGACTATGATAGAGCACTTGGTGACAGTAGGCTGTTACGCCAAACCGGTGGCCCTCTGCTGTTGTTGGATATCCAGTCATTGACTTGGAATTGTGGGCCGCGTTGTACATCTGATGGTATGCATTATGATGGAGCTATCTATGAGGCTGCCGTTCAGATCATGCTAAATGCATTGCTTATTGAATCTCATCAGAGGCTTTGAAGCCGCCAACAGTTTTTTTTCCCTAAAATCTGTTCTGTGTAGCTTTTCCAGAAACATACCAATGGTTTTACGGCAAGCTTCACGAGCATTTGACCCTTAAGAGAGGCTCGATTCTTCTTGCCCGTATAGAATCTTTGAAAAACTTGCCAGCATCCCCCTTTGGCTTTGGAGTTTGGATTAACACGTAAATTTTCTATGTATGTCGAAATTCTTTCTTTTTGTTTTTGGTTTTATTTTCATACGTTTGAAAACTAAATATTCACTTGCTTGTATACTGTAGTTTGATGGCACTGTGTATGATTCACATCCAATTTTGTTGTGACCAAATTTGACAGTTGTGCAATATTGGATACATCTTTTAGTTTTTTGCAATACATAGCAGCAGCAGTGATCTTGTTGTTCCCTCCAGTATGATTTAATGACATAGCTTTTCTGAATTGGATTTTGTAGTTTGTATGACATTTTTAGAAGGAATGTTCATTGATATAGATGGTCATTTCTTGTTTGTGTTTCTTCTTATAGTAGTTGAATCTCTTTATGTTTTAGTTTTGCAGATTAGCATCCAATATCATGTGTATATGGCATGCAAGCATTCATGTCCGCAGACATGAATCACCAGCCATCCACCCCATGATGGATCAATGGATGGTGAATTCGGGATTTGTCTAGTGAATTGTTGCATGTGTTAGGGGATATTAATTCCCATTCACTGAAATATCCAAAAATTAAAAAAGAAAAAGAACTGCAATTGTAATGAATGGTATGTTTGGAAATTTTCTATTAGCTGTAAAATCTCTTCCTTTTGTTAGAATGGAGATTCTTAGGTTGTGTGTTGGAGATGCTAGATTTGGTATGAATTAAGAGTGATTGCAGATGTAGCTGGTGCCTTCATAGAACGAGGGTTCGAGATCACACTGTAAGTCTAAGGAAGTTCTTCCAATATAATTGAGTGTTCTTATATTACAGCAAATACAAAAGGGGTCTTTTAAAGGAGATTGGCAAGGCACCTCACCACGGTTTTCTTGGCTAACAAACCTAGAGACTCCTACATACGCACCCACAACCTGAGTTGTTCTCGTGAAGTTAATCCTTCTGCTCCTTCCATGTGCATTAAAATCTCCATAAGTAGGTATTTTGTTTATGACATATTACAGTTGTGAGGGCTGCAACAAGTCGGACAAACTGCCCAGCATCTAACAAAGAGAAAAAATCCATATTTGCATTACATTTATTTTTATTTTCTTGACATGTTTTTCTTCATCGGTAGTTGTACATATAGATGTATCTAGTTTGTTTCCTCTTCCTGATATCAGTTTTTTTTAAGTGACCTGTGTTCCATTGGGTAAAGCTTGCTTGTTAATAGAGTAAAATGCACAAATTTATGAGCTTGTGGTTCTATGAAAGGTACACCTGTATATTTTACCAATTGAATTGGTGTTTAGGAAGGTCCAGAAATTAACCAATACTGCAACTTCAGCTACTTGATAATCCCCAAAATTCCACTACATGGAACAACACTCCTATATTTCATCCAGTAGTCAACCCAAAAGCTTGAATTGCCTAAAAGAATCAACCAATCTTCAAGCTTTCAAGCCAATTTATAAACTCAATTATCTGTTTGTATGTAGAAAGGATACCAAAACCACCAGCAGACCATCTTCGTTACATGTTTCTGAAGAATAGATGGCTTCAATCAGAACACCAAAACCTTCAGTTTTGCGTACGCACATATGGTAAGCACTAGGCAATCTGTCTGATAGTCTATCCTTTATTCTTCTACAAAAGTCTTGAGGTGGCCAAAATGGCGTAATTGAAACGAATCCGCTTTGGCCATGACATTTCAGGGATCTGTCAGATTACATTCTAGGAATACATTTCAAGTTTTGAAAGAGGCAAAATCGATTTCTCTCCTGCTGTTACAATGAAGCTATTCATACAAAATGTCATAAGCCACTACATCACTTGAACATCTCAATCAAAAAGCCAACACTTTTACAATTTCCACCCCAATCAGCACAAAAACAACAGATAATAGAATGGGAGAAAGAGAAGAAAAGAAAAGAAAAGAAGAAGAATAGCATTGCTCTTGCCTATATATAACAACATTCTTGTTGATGCTGACTGACTGATCTTATGATTCGAATTGCTTTCCTTCGAAAGTCTGCCCAAAGTTCCAATTCTTAGGAGCAACATTGTAAGATGTAACCGTAAGCCCATCACTACTTGTGACCTCAAAAGAAAGAGGCTGATTCTTTAGATCAGAATTAATATGCCAATTCTGTCCCCAATTCCGACCCATTTGCAGCCACCCTGTTTTTGAACCCCTAATCTTGACTGCAACTATATCCCCAGCACCACCAACATTGCTGATGAGCACCGATACAAAGATGCCTGAACCATCAATCGTAAATCGAACACCTCCTTCTTTTCTGCACTTGATCCTGTTTAAAACAAGCAACAAAATATTCTTTTAAGATGAGAAGCTTAAAGTAGGTTATATGAAAGAAAAGAAGAGTTTGTACCTTCGATACTGAACAGGCATGTTGCCAGCCTTCCAAATCGCAATCTTCTCAAAGGCCTCAATGGGAAGCACGAAGTGCTTGTTGGGAGGATTACAATGGCCTCCACCCTCCGCAGTAAACCCATAATTGGGAGCACAGAAATTGGTGGCTGTGACAATGATAGATGTCCCTGGTATGCACCACCGAAGGTCATCCACGCACCTCAGCTCGAAGCATGCGCCACAGATCTGCCCACGCTCAAACAGGGTCTCGCTTAAACCCACCGTTGCCATGCCGTACCCAGCCTTCACCAGGTCTCCATACCCGCACGCCCCACCCACCGCGTCCCGAGGATCCGATGCTGCGTAGTAAGTGGCGCGTGCGGGAAGCCACTGGGAGGATTGGGGCGGCGATGGGGAGGAAGAGGAGTAATGGGAAGTGACTACTGAGATTAGTAAAAGTAGTAGGAGTGTGAGCAGAGGAGCTTCAGTCATTAACGGCGGTAACATTTCTTAATCTCCACAACAACTCCTTACTCTTACAATTGAGAGACAGAGACAAGCTAAAGAGGAAAGTTAAACATTAATTCGATCAATTCATCAAATGTCAACAGACTTCCACTACAAGTGTCCTTTTCTTTTCGGCTCTTTTTTTCTTGTTTTGGGCCAACCTGGCCACACTTTTTTTATTTCACAAAACTAAACTCGGGCCAATGATTTATTGTGGATAATTACTGTATTGGCCTTCCCACATTATAAAGGCTTGGGGTGTGTGGTTTACATGGGATTTCCATTAACTCAAAATAATTGATTTTGAAATTAATGGCATCTTTTATCTCCGAAAAAAAAAAAAAAAGAATCGTATCTGTGTGTGCATGTGGATGGCCTCGTCGAGAAGCCTTCATGGGTTCACCAAAAGTAGCATGTCAAGCCTTCTCACGTAAGTGGGTTTAGACCTCTATCTCGTGTGGTAGTAAACTTTCACACTGAAAAAGTTCGGAGTGTATGTATCATTTGTTTATATGAGATTTTGTGTTAACCCAAAATAATCGATTTTAAAATTAATAGTGTGTCTTATCTTTGATCAGAAAAAAATTATTGTATTCTAATTGATAAATTATTAGAGTTAATATTTAAAAATTATAAATTTAAAAAAAAATTTATAAGCATAATGTCTTCACCCAAAATAAGCATTAGTAGACTTAATAATTTTAAATATAATACAATAATATGATATGAAAATAATATAAAAAAATCATATATTTATTTTAAAAGATAAATTTTATGTTTATTTATATTAATATGAATTTTGACATAATATAATTTATATTTTATACATGTTTACATGTGTAAACACATGTAAAGCACAAAAAAAAAAGTTTAAATAAATCGTGTCCCATGAATATACGTTTAACACATTTTTTGTATTTATTTTAATATAATATAAATATATGAATATTATTTTAATTTTTAATTTTTTAATTATAATACCTAATTAGCTATTCAATATACCATATAAAGATTATTTTAAAATTTTAATTATGATACTCATTTAAAAATTATTATAAAATTAATTTTTTATATTAATAATATAAATACAATATAAATAATAATATTAGTACTACACAACATTATTTTATTTTTTAATTTTTAGTAGTTCATCATTTTGGATTTGGTGCTAAAAACTAATATAATTATGTATAAAGTTTTTTATTTTTATATTAGTAATGTATATATCAAAATTTTAAATATATATGTTAAAAGTTAAATTAGTATAAATTTTTTTATACTTTTTAAATATGCAAGTATTTTTTATATTAATAATGTATATATTACATATATAAATCTTAACATATTATATATATATTGGTTTTTCTAACTTTTTATAATAAAATTAAAAAATAATTTTTTATTAAAAAGAACTTAAAATGACAATATATACTTAATTGTTAATAACAAGTAACATCCTATACTATGATCATTGATCAAGCAAAGCAATTCCAAAACACCTTAATATACAATAATATATTGTATCGATAATAAATAACATTTACAATGGAGAGTTCAAAGTTGTTTATTATTTTAGTCGTATTTTTATGTATATTCGTAATAATCGTATTTATTTATATATATTAATATTATTCATATTTATTTGTGTCATATTTAAATAAATTAATTATGCATATGTTAGTCATGTCATGTCACGTATAATACATATAATAAATATATAATATTTATATTTAAAATTTAAATATATTTTATAATTTGTGTCATGTTTATGTTTTAATAATTCGTGTTATTATATATGTCAAATATGATATGAAACATGATATGAAAATATCATTTGCTAGATAGGAGTATTAGTATAGAAAGATTAAAAAAAGGTAAATTAAAAATTTTAAAAAAAAATTTGCAATAAAGATCAATCCACTCACAATCAATATAATTAAGAGAATTCCTTACATGCATCATGTAAGTATTAAATTTACCAAAATTAGTTTAAGCACCAATGAATTTGCATCAAATATAAGGGAATTGAACGACATTGGAAAGAAGTCAATCCAAATTAGTGCAATTTAAAAGAGTTTTTATTCTTTGAACTGTGGAAGTGACCAGAGTATTCACTGTTGCAACAGATTGCATGTTTAGCTCCTTTGACGATGAACTGCCGGAGACCAATATTTGGAAGGCTACTGTAAGAAGTGAACCGCTTGAGTTTGCGGCGACTCCTCTGTCGCCTGAGCATATAAAACCTGATGGAAGTATGGGTATGTTTGAAGAATCCTCTCCGTTTATAGCAATGTTTATGGCTGGTATACAGATTGGAGCATACACTACCATGGCTCCCAAACGCTCACTGTTGCAACACTCTTGAAGCAGCACCATGTTGTTCTCACTGGGGACAAAAGGCTGCTTCAAAAACACCATTCTCCTTTAGAACTCTATATATGTGCATGCCTAAATAAAAAGCAGGAAATTAATCAAGGAAAATCTTACCCGAATTATGGATATACAATTCCCCGGAATATTTCCAGTTGAGATGTTTGAGATCTCATTTACAGGATTACCGTTGCAAAGAACATCCCACTGGCGAATAATGAAAATAAAAATTCCAAGTATTAATGAAAGAATATAATGATTAACTATAAATGATGTTAATAATCATAATATATAAAGTTTATAAATATCAACCTTAAATCTCATGTTCTCATCTTTGAGCAAGCTAAAGACAGTTTGGTATGGTAATGGAAGCCAAAGAGAGGTTGCGGCACTGACAATCATTCCTTTGGTTTGGCCTGGTTCTGTGCTCTGCCGGACAGAAACTCGAACCCCACTGTTGGTCTCCTCCGATGCTTGAGGGAAATCCAATTTCCCTGACATGCTCAACATGGAACAAAAGGTTTTCACCATCCTATGGGAAAGCTTCATCACGCTTTTCCCGCCCTCTGGTAAAGTAATCACTGAACCATAGATATATAGATAACATGAGTAAAAATTAAGAACATAAACAATAACATCTTAATTTAATTACTTGAAAAGAATACCTCCTCCAAAGTCATGGATGTGTTCAGTAATTTGTCCATTTGAGATTGATAATCTCTCACACATCCTTTGAAGGGTAATAACCCAACGTTCAGACCCATATCCTGAACCCCCACCTATGAGTTCTCTGTAGAGTCGATGAGTTTGTGTTTTATCATCCACTTCCACATGTTCTACCCAGGTGATCTACAAGTGATGCATTCAATCCAATTACCATACGTGCCTCATGTTAAGATAATTCATTTTAAAAAAGAATGACTTGAGATAAAGAGACTCGAACTCGACTCTTTGAGCAGGAGATACAAAGCCTGCAATTGATTCAAATGCTCATGTCTATTTTAAGAAAGCATATAAATGACGGGAAGGAACATGAAAAGTACGGAAACTATTATACATTTGTGATATTTGCAAAGGTAGAAATTGAATGAGAAATACACATATATATATATAAGTGGTTCAGGTGTTCCAGAGATTTGCAGATTAAGTCACCTTGGAACAGCCATTAGGCATTTCTTGGATCATACATCCAGAGGGGAGCTTCCAAGAGTAGGAAATCTCTTTGAAGAATGTATAGGAGACATCAACGAGCACCCACAACCCCGACTCAATTTGTTGGCAATGGCGGAGGAAGTAGAATTCTCGAGGTGGAACAAAAGGAGAAAGGACGTGCATTTGTTCATACATCTGTACTTGGTAATTTAGACTGTGTGAGTTATTGGAGGCAAATGCTAGAAATTAACCAATTAAAAACATGTATAGTACAGGAGATTTACCAGTTGTAAGGAACCATTCTTGTTTCCGAGCATTCCTGTTTCAAGTACTTGAATTGTCTTGGCTTTGGTAACAATTGTTGGAAAAAGATCCATCCACTTATCCTGCAAATTCCAAAAACCAATGTTCAATGATCACATTTAAACTTGAAGAATGGTGGTTTTGTCATTGCTTAGTTACCGCGTCTAGGAACATATCAACTAGTTGGGTAGCCTCCATTGTGACCAAGGCTGAATCTTTAGAAGACTCGATTCGAGCATTAGAACTTCTGAAATGGGTGATTCTAGCAAAAGCTTTTTCATAGCTATCACGGTGAATAACATATCTTCCATCCAATGGGGACTTGACCCACAAAGGCTCACTCGTCCGCAAGAGCCTAATCAACTCTTCCATGGCAGTGACAGCAGTTTCAGACATCACTACTCTTTCCATATCACTGACTGTGACTCCTAATTCAAATGGATAGGGCAATGATGTGTTTTCTTGAGAAAAGGATTGTGTGGTGAAACGTGGTGTACTAATAGGATTTAATGACTCGCATTGTGTATCTACTTTCCCTGTATATTTGGCCAGAAGGGCTGACACCTTCTCATGCTGCAAACACAAATAAGGGCCCTTTAGGCTTGCCCGTAAATAAAAGAAGAACAAAAAAAAGTAGATGAAAATGTTGCCTCTTGTCTCAATTGGGCATTCTGTAGCTTCAATGTTTGCAGGCTCTGTTGGCGTTCCTCTTCTCCAATAGGGGGGCCACCACAAGAAGGGCAAATCACATTCTTCAAAGCCTCTCTGATTGCCAGGTTTTCACATCGAATCCTCTCATTCTCAGCTCTTAGAACAGAGTTAGTAGCCCGTTCATGTTGAGCCTACTCAAACACCAAACCATTTTAACCACTGACAAAAACATGACAATAAACATTTTTTTAACACCACCCCCCCCCCCCAAAAAAAAAAAAAAAAAACCATCACCTTTGTTTGAGTTCTTTTGTTTTGAAACCAAAACTTAATCTGCTTAGGTTGTAGACCAAGATCCTTGCATAATTGTCGTCGCTGGTTGTCATCCGGATGAGGGCATTCCTTGAAAAATCTTCATTCCAAGCAATGAAACCAGTTGATGAATAATCATTGGTTGTGAAAAAAATTATATGTTAAAATTCATGTATTAAACTTTTTAATACAAATGAATCATAAGTCCGCAACTCAACGACAAAGAAGAAACTTCTAAGATGAATTAAGTTATGTGACCAAATTAAGAATAGTAGATGTGAGAGCAACATGAATAATGTGTGGGATCATATATATGGTGAGCTTACGCTTCAAGAATATGTATTTGGTGAGCAGTGTGGCGATGGTAGCTCTTCTTTCTATTACCGGAATTAGAGCCTTCTCCTTCATTTTCGTCACCAGAATTCCCACTGGTACTTCCCATTGTTAAATCCATTTCTCACTCTTCGATTATTTCTTGTAACACCCAAACCTATATATACACCATATACATGGTATAGTTATGTATATGTAAACAAAATCTTTACTTTGATTTCTTGCTATATATATAAATTAATAGCTCTACACCTTTCCAAATAAAGATATCAAATGAAAACCATTTACAACAATTATCTTGATTTGTA